CCATCATCTATGGCCATGAACTTTGAGTGGAGTCTGAAAGAATGAAATCTCAGATGCAAGGGGCTGTAATTAGTTTTTTCAAAAAGGTGTCTAAGCTCTCCCTTAGAGACAGGGTTAAAAGCTCATTCCTCTAGGAGGGACTGAAGAGTAGAGCTGCTCCTTCACTCTGTCAAGAGGAGCCAGTTGTGGTGGCACAAGCATCTGGTGTTCCGGGCACATTCCTCTAGGAGGTTACAGAGAAGAGGAGGACACACAAGAGAGACTATGTTTCCTGGCTGGCCTTGGCATGCCCTGAGATTCTCCTGGAGGAGCTTTCCCAAGTGGCAGGGGAAAGGGAAGTCTGGGCTTCCCTACTTAGGTTGCTCTCCACTTTTGACATGATTTTAAAACTCCATTTAATTAATAATTGTTTACTTTAGGAGGCTGCTCAGTGGAGCAGTGGATAGCACTGCTGCCTTGCAAGAAGAAGGATCCAGGTTCCACCCCCAGCCCAGGGTCTTTCTGTATGGAGTTTGCATGTTCTCCCTGTGCATGCGTGAGACTCTCCTGGTACTCCAGGACCCTCCCACAGTCCAAAAACATGATTGTTAGGTTAACTGGCTGCTCTAAATTCTCCTTTGGTGTGAGTGTGTGCATGAATGGTTGTTTGTCCTGTTTGTTGCTGTGTTGCCCTCCAATGGACTTGTGACCTGTCCAGGGTGTACCCAATTCTCGCCCATAGACAGCTAGAGATAGGCAACAGCACCCCTAGCTGGGATAAAGCGTGATGGAAAATGGATATTAATTTTAGTCCCCACAATACACTAAACTTATTTCCATGTATTATGAAGGCTAGATAATACAACACACTATTTATTTTAAATAATTTATTTTTGTCTTCTTTGTTTTGCACAATGCCCTTTGCTTTTCATTCATCACATCCCTGCCTTCCTAGAAAAGGGGCAATTTGTGGTTGCGAAGTTGATTCTGCTCCACCATGCAGTGTGGATGAATGGGAAATAACTTAATGAACTTGAGATTTAATATCTACAAACAGAGCTACTGTAGATAAATTGCATTCTGGTTGTATTGGTGTCTTTTTCTGGATGGCAACCACACTACAACACTGAAAAAAGGTCCATCAAATTTGATGTTATCAGTAGAAAAAATTTAATCAAATAAACCAGTGCCCCTTTTCATCAATGCAAGGCTATTTATTGATATAGCACATTTCAGTAGCAAGACATTCCAAAGTCCTACACATTTGATTCTTAAAGATAATAAAAAGACATAATTTGAATGATAAAATAACTATAGAAAATAAATAAATAAATGATTAACTATAACATTTCTATGCAGGTCAGTCAAAACATTGCAAGTTTATTTACAATTCCATTTAACTGTTAATGAATACTTGAAATGCAGGCTTTAAGGCTGGGCAGTTTTTATAAGTTTCTTTCTCGGTACGAGGCGATTACCTCGACCTCTGCTTTCAGCAAGTAACTACTCAGTTGTCAATATTCACACACAGACAAAAACACAAGAAAATGGAAAGTTGTTGCTTTGTTAGCAGGATCAATTGGAAACTTATGAATGGATTTTATGGATTTTTTTTTTTTTTTACCCAGAGGTGTGCCTCATGCCAAGGAACAATTCAATTAAATTTGCAAATTATCTAGATCATTGGCGAGTTTCAGCTAAAGGCGTAAATCACAATTTGGAGCAAAATTCCCTGATTGGCAGAGGTCTGTATATTTGTTATCTTTGCCTACAGATAACCCTTCTCAGAAACAGTTTGGGGAATAGTGAACAGGTAGCAAACAAATAACATGTTTAAATTAAACCAGTTTATCTTACTATAGTGTATCTGTTAAATTCTAAATATCGTAGTAAAATCAATTTTACCAACAGTATCACACAAAATAAACTTAAATTACATGTAATGATAAATTTAGCTGAGCCCTGTAGCATTCGTGGATTCTAGTAGTCTCTCTTCCCCTTTTGTCCTTAGGGCTTGGTGACTATCAAGTCTAATTACCAGAGATAATGGAAAAGGGAAACTAAATGGCACTGATGGGGTCCAGCAGAAGGTTATTAGGTGTCCTCATTAACGTCCAACTGATGTGAAATAAGGTTTAAGCTCTTATTATGATCCCTATAGACAATGTTACTTTTGTTTTTTCTCTTCAGGGAGGGATTTTACGTTGCACTCAAGTAGAAGAGGGAAAGAATGAAGTGGAAAGAAACCCTAAGGAGAGAAGCCTTGATGTGTGCTTTCACTATGTTAGTTTACACTTGTGCACATCAAAAGATACTAAATACTGCTGAGTATGTTGCATGAGTAATCTATATTCAATGGGATTGTTGGTATGCCATTTAATATCAATATTTGTCAGTCCAATTTTTTATCATATAAAGCTGGGCCTACACTTAACACGTGTTTTTGCATTTTTAGGCCGATCCGGCAGTGGTGTGAGAATTTTTTGGATGAGGCCGAGTTCAGCCTCATCGTGCATCCTGCGTAATGTAGTATAAAGGTGTTAATGAGGGGCGATTAGCCACTCAAGACCACCTCCCATCAGGAATTGCAAGGTCTGGAGAAAATCAAACTGTTTGAAAGACAGTCGGCCCTGTTGAGGTGTTTTCGGGCCAATTCTGCTGTTGAAGCAGAGCTACGAGCGTTTACAAGCTGATTTGCCAGAACCCTGCGCACTGCATATGTGCAAACACGGAACAGGTCATTTCTTGCGCTGAACTTTGGATGGCTGGATTTGAAATCAGGTATAATGCTTAAAGCAAATAACCAAGATGCATAAGGCAAATATCCAAGGTATAGTGAAACAAATCAAAATTCTAAACAAAATTAGAAAAATAAATCAATATCTAAGAAAAATCTGAAAGGGTAATTGGTCTTCTCTTACCATTGAGAAAGACGTCTAAAAATGTGCTCATAGGTTCTATACTCTTACAAGGCTTTTATCAATCAATCAGATTTGAATTTGGAAGATAGCAAATAGAAAAAGGGGATTATTTTTAAACACATTTCTTCAAATAAGAGAGTCACAAACATGTAATCTTGTTTTGCAGCATAGATACTGTCTCATCGTTCAAGGTGCCTAATATGTTACTCACTATGTTGAAAGAAAAGGTATAACACATTCAAGGTATAACATATGAATCAACATTTCAAGTTTAAGACACATTTTGTATTATTTTAAAAGTTTCTAAATTAGCTAAATTGGAATATACTGTATGAGATTCTTGATACCTATTTCAGTAACACCTAAATGTCTGGAAATGACATTTTAAGGTCACTGAAATAAAATTGATGTTTGAAATGGTTTATGCTGGTTTCATTTTCGCAACAAGAAACCTGGCTTTGATTTTAATAGAGCTGTTTAGATTTTGTATCATCTGTATGCTTTCATGGTAAAACAATTAAATTGAAAATGCCAAAGGCAGAAAAAAAAATCTGCGTTCTTTATGCTCTTAATGAAAGAAACTAGGACAAACAAAGAAAAACTGCAACTCAGACCTTGTGAAAAAAAACAAACAAAAGAATTGAGATAGTATTACAATCATCAAAGCAATGTTTTATTGTAGTTCTCATAGTTGCTCAGACACGTGTATATACAAATACAGATCATTTTGCTGTCAAATTTTCTTGTCCTTTTATATACTGTAAAAGAGCAGTTTGGAAACAGTCCCCACTGATGGAAAAGCTGTAGTGGAGTTGAAAGGTGAGGGAAAGGGGACCGTAGGTAGGGGTCATATGAGCACAAGTAGAACAGAGGCAGAACATAAAATGAACAAGTGTTTAAATCAGCAAAAGAAAAAAGAAGTACTAAGAAGCTTTACCCTGTGCAGAGCATGGATCGATGATAGGCTTCACCCCAGTAACAACCCAGTTCAGGATTTGGTAGGTGGGGTGCTCTAATCCTTGAACTGCATCTAAGACCACCATCTACTGTAAGAAAAAGTGATTTGGAGTTCCTTAAAAAAAGAGAAAAAACTGAAGGGCCCTGTTGTACCCTCTTTGACGCAAGCAGCTGCTCTGTGTACAAGCACAAAGGCAAAGAGTGTCTTTAAAACAAATGGGTTAGAGGCTGAGGGGGTAAGGCATGGGAAACGCTCTTTGCTGGCAAAAAGATGCATTGCTTTTCTTCTACTACAGCGACAAAAAATGAGACACACAAAAACTTAAACTTAAATCCACACTGAAAAATGTCTACACTGATGTGTCCACTCAAATTCCTTCTACTGGGAGTGATGGGAAAAAAAATAGAAAAAAATTGATGATAAACACTATCAAAGCTTACAAAGGCTGTCGTTTTAGGAAAATAAAGGCAAATTTTTCTTTTTAAAACACAGGATAAAGCCCCGAAACCTCATATCTCACTTTTAAATGTCCTTACAATGGCTTGTGGTATGTACATTTGTCAGACGTCACTCAAATGGGGGATGCAAAAACACACATGACTGCGATCATTAAATCTATTACATCAGAATGAAAAAGAAAACAGCAACAAAATAGTTTTTGAAAACTTTAGATTTTTTTTACATGTGCATGCCACATAATGAAACTGGTGTGATCCTTCCATAAAAAAGCAACAATCTGTTCAAAAAAATGCATTCAAGCCCCTCAAGGCAAAAAAAGTACAAATAGGCCACTGATCGAGTCCCAAATGCTTCTTTTCGTAGGCAGGATCCTTCCATGAAAAGATGATGACTGGTTTAAAACATGTAAGAGGTGAGCCACTTGTTAGCTAATATTCCAGCCTACTGCACACCATTGTGTGCAGCTTCCACAGGTTTGCCCTTTTTTGTTTGAACTTATGGGGTCTCTTTAGGCATTGAGGATTAAAGCACACAAAATGCATTATTTGAGAACAGTACACACTCCGCAAAACCCAGAGATAATATGGTATCTTGTTTTTTAGAAAAGACATAAGAACCAAATTAATACTTTAATATCAAACACTATATACATCAAGAAGTTTTCCCAATAATAATAATAGTCATAATCATTATCATCATAACAATAATAATAATTATACAGTTTTTAACAATGGTTTGTTTCATCTTTTTTTTTCATTTGTCCTACAGAAAGGTACAAAACAGATACTAACCTAACACTATATGTTGTATGGTTGTCTACCTCAGGATACACAGTATCCAGTATATAAGTTGATTCTCATTTCCCAGGTTAAGGTTGTGTGCAGAACAAATCATGATAAGGATAGGAAAAATGACAATTAAAACTGGTTTCTGATTAGAATTTGCTGATAAGTATCCAAGTTTAATTTTATGCAGTGCTCATATCCCTGTGGTGATATTCTGAAAATCTGTATCCTATTAAATGACCTCATCTCCCAATACCTCTCATAACTGAGCTGCTATTCTGTGTAATAGCATTGTTAAATCAGTTTATAAAGAAACAAATGTCTGAAGGCAAAGGTTGTTGTTTTTGTCAGAAATGCAATAAAATATATATTTAGAAAGCAAAAAAAGGCAGTCACAAAATAAAAACAAAGCAAACCCAAAACAGTATGTGTATCTGAGGTCAAATGGTGCTAGACCATTGTTTGGTATTGAACTGAATAATTTTCTTTTGTCCTGTAGTGTCAAATTAATTTTTGCTGATTTTGTCTTAAATTTATTTTTTAGGCACTTAACACTTCTGTGAGATATATTTGATGTCCAAACTTGTGTTTATTGATGTGTGTGAGCATCTCTTCATCTATTTCGTCTCCATTACTCACTAGACGTTCACAAACTGGACATTGAGCCTCCATAATCCCCACAGTGAAAATCTACACTTCCCTCCCCATGCCAAGACTTCCACAATCTCATTTCAAAACCAGAAAAAAGTGCCCAAACTATTACATGTCTGTGTGCCTGTCACATTGAACACTATAAAGGAATGAGTCACTTAAACTGTAGCAGTGGGAGTAGAAGGTGGGCGTGTGGTTGTTCCATTTTTGCTCGATGTTGTTCATCTTTAATAACTTGCATTCACCATGCTGCTCTGATATAATGTTACATTCAGTATAAATAAAGGCATAGTACAGGAATTTTCAAGTGAGGCTTTGTTTAAAGATTATAATTCTGATAACATCTTTATTTAGCAGTAATCCAGATTAGCTCATTCAAGAGGCTTACTCTAACAGCACATTAAAAATTATCAAGACTGAAAGGCACCAGTAGCATCCTAAGATAACTTGGCCTAAAAAAGGCCAAGCTGTTTATGAGAACACAATCTTATGAACCCTTAAACCAGTATAACTTTTGCAAAGGGCAGTGATCCATACTAAGGACAAAAATAGTTACAGCAAGAAATGATGGTAGGAGGCAGGGTGCAAAAAAATTTCTTCCTATGTGAAACAAGTCTTTCAGGTTAGAGTAATGATCTGATATAAAAGTACAGATTGGTCAAATGCTAAAATATTACAGTAGTTTTAGATGACAGTTTTTACAACTTTTATTAGAGCAATACTTTTTATAAGGTAGTTAGTTACTCTGCTTGGATGTGGTTTGAATGCTCCATCAGTAGTGTGTGTTTCCCATTGGAAAGGGATTTCCTAGTCCATCTGTTTTGCTAGTAAATAACTATTGGCTTAATTGTAAATTATTGTCTGATGTAAGCATGAGAAAAGTTTAAAGGTTCATAAAACATCATAAAGATCAACCTCTATGGTGCTTTTTGGAATGCTTTTATTTTTGGAAATCTGATTGGTTACGGCATTTCTAGGGTTTTTGAAACAAATTGGTTCCAGTGTTCAACTGATGCTAGTGCATCTTTTATATTTTTTTCTCTCATTTCTTATTGCTGTAAGCTATGGCACAGAAAAAAAAGTTCTTTTAACTTGAACTGATGCTGGGATGTTAGAAGCTCTAGAACAATCAAAATAATTTGAAAACATTTAAAATTGCACAGTTTGTTCCTGTTCCAATCTATCTAATTTGATATATCAAGAAAATGTAAAACACAGACCTATATAATTACCAAAACGTTGGAATTACAGTGAAAAGACAAAAGGTACCGGTTTTAGCCACTTAAAACAGCATTAACAAATTCATAAAAAGTTATTAATAGAAAATAATTGTGGGACTAATCAGGTAAATGTTATTTGTCAAGTTAACCAGTCTTTCTGTGATTTGAATCTTTATAAAAACTTAGAACAAAAAGCAAGCAAATCAAGCGTTTCTAAGATATTTGTGAGACGTTAATGCAATGATGTTGCTCTGAAATGATTCATTGCTTGTGGAAAAATTAAAACCAGTTAAAAGCCATTGAAGTAGTGGTAAAAATATTAGTTTAGTTAAGACATAAAAAAAGACATTAGCTTCATTTCCTGGGCCCTTTTAATCTGGATTAATACCAAATAAAGACACCTAAAAAGTTACCAAGTGCATTTAAGATGTTAAGTGCTAATTAATATAAGTGAGCCTCAATAGAGAAACCCTGATCTATACCTTTAGGTGAAACTCCAATCCCTTGCAAGGAAATGAAAAACAAAATCTCATTCTACTAACTCACCATGTGTTTAGTGGGCTGCTGATCAGTAAACTACTTTGATTTTAAGTGGAAACATAAACCGAATGAACCGAGCTGCCTTGAATTTAATGGATGCATTTCTCTTTTGTCTTACGTTAAGTGAGCTCAACTAATTATAGCTATGCATAAATCCTTATAATGCTTTGCTAAATGCTGTAACACCATCAAACTGATAAGCCTCTAACAAGTATTTAACTGAGCTATAATTACGTTAAAGAAAAAAAAGTGTGGCACTGTAAATTGGACAGTCTTTTTAAACATTCCTTGCACATCAGTTGTTTTTCTCATTAAATTGGATCTAAAATTAAGTTTAAACTGTCTGAGGGGTTAAAGACAATGTTTGATCAGTTAAATAATTTCATAATTATGGAAACAAACAGATAAATAAAAACAACGCAAAGTTTAAGCTGTGAAACCTTTTGAACAATCAATATCCAGGGAATAAATACTTTTAGATGCAAATGTTTATGGGAGTGTTAATATTGACTAATGCTCAACTGGAACAGAGAAAACAATTGCACCCCAGCTCAGTAAACATTGCACAAATGACTGTGACTGCTGCCGTGAAATTGTGTTATCAAGTTTCAAAAGGTATTGATTCTCGATTTTAACAGCGGTTAACGAAGTGTCTGGAGAGAAAGTTTCAATTTAATTTTGGCTTTGTGAGTCTGAGTGAACAGAACCCTTTCAGAAATGTTTTATTGGGCCTTTTTATTGGGTTTGTGACAAAGGAGGAGTCGCCTGTTAATATGAAAGAGGTTTGCCTCCACTTGCTCACCCAGAACATCCAAAAGCTCATCACACTTAGGAGAAAGAGACCACCACCAAGACGGCGTAGATGAGTTGGCTGAGATGGATGTCATATACTTAGCACATGTTTAAACGTTGCATTGGTGAACAACTCTGCTCTACCACTGGCTTAAGAAATAGTTTCCAATACATAAAACCCCAACTACGCTGATTTCTGAAGGGCTTGTTGAAAGGGATCAGGGAAACTTTCTATTCCTGTTTGATGTATGTACAGTCATCACTATGACCTATTATCTAAAATGTAAAACTGTATATACTGCAACTGTCTAACACTGTAAAATCCTACTAATTTTGTATGTGCTTTTGCAATGTTTAAACAGTGTGAAAATCAGTCTGTCTGGATGCACTATAAACTATATTTCCTTGTTAAAAATCAGTACTGAAATGACATAAAAATGGTGTAGAGTAATGTTAAATGTCATGGGAAAATAAGAATCACTAAGTGGGAAAAATTTTAATTTGGCATCTTGGTTGAATGTTTAAGAGGGGAATTCTCACTCCCACTTCTAACTCAACTATTTTAACTCACAGAAGGAGAAAAATCTCTTAGTTAATTCCTCTTCAGAAAAAAAATGTTTGTTTTTTTTCTTGAGAAGCCTGCTTTTTTATGCCCAATCAAGCAAATACAACCCACCCAAATCCCACCTACTACCCTGCAGCCTAGGGTAGACTCAGGCCACGCTAGGTGTAAATAAACTCCAGTACAGAGGGAGGCGCTATAAAGTGAAGAGTCCCACTAGGGTGACCAGCAGCAAAGCAAGCAGAGAACTTGTTGTCTGTAGACGTTTCGCAGCATTTGTTTCACTCCGCGATGGGGCAGCTGTTTCATGGCTAGTTTCATCTAAGAGACAAGAGAAAAAAAACAAAACAACATGGATTTTAGTATCAGTTGATTTGTTCTGTGATGAAACTAAAGTTATTTAAGTGATTTATTTATAAACTGATGTGCCTGTTTATATACATCTCCTAATTAAAATGGTATAAAAAAAGGTTGCTTTTTTTACTTTGAAGAAATTTGTATAATTCAATTCATCACAAAACTTCACTTAAAATACATGAAGGAGACCAATAATGTATATCAAGCTTTTTTAATGTTAATTTGTATGATCATGCATTACAGTGAATACCTTTGGTTTCAAAGAAATGTAAATGGTTTATACGCATGTTTACAACGAAATATGTTTTTTTTTTATATATAACAGAAATGTGGGCTACCAAAGAGTATTGGATACTAAATATGAACAATATTTGTGCTTATACAGCTTTGTGTGACAGGTTGCTTTGGTTTTGTTTTCTTGAATCTTTTTTACTATTAATACCTTGTAGACTCTTCTAGGGTTTATATAAGGTTAGTTTGCTGGTAAATCAAGTAATACTATAGTGTTTTAAGTAGGTATTTAGTATTTTTGGCAGCAATGGTCTGGTGCCAAGTCCTGTAAAAAACTGAACTTGGCATCTTTATAATGCTTCTCAGAATATAGAAACATGAAATGGCTTAAGAGTTTCTGGCGCTGACAAATAATCACTGAAAAAACTTGTGCACCTTTTTCTATAAGGCTTTTCCTATTAGTTCAACCTCTGGTTGGTTTTCATGGGTAATGCCTGTTTCTTTTGAAAATACTTTTTTGTGGCTTGCCACTCATCCACAAAATATCAGAGATCAGTGCATTCTAGTTCTCCATAGCAAGTAGAAGCCATATTGATCAATGGATAAATTCTGACTGGCTCTGTGGCATTACAGGCAGCCCCCTCCATCATCTGTCAGAAATACAACTCAAGTATGTTCTTGACAGATTACAGAGCAAAGCTCATCAATTAAATTAAAACAAAAAAACAGATGAGCCAGCAGAAAGTCCTGCACTGGAAAACTAAGGCACTTACTATCAGTTTGACTAGTCTGTCTGTTATCATAAAGATCATAACATAAATCTTGTCCATCTTATATAACTTTGTAATTTAATGATAAACTGATTTGCAAAAGATTTCATGAGCCAAAATCCAAAAACTTACCACAAACTTTATCTCTCTGTGTTAATTCATATAATATGCAGTTTATAATTATAATAATTAAGAATACCTATTTAGATTTATTATAATTTGAGATGAAGATAATATCAAAAAGTATTGGCTCCATTCATCAACAATAGTAGAGCTTTTCGGATTCATGTCATGAAAGTCAGAGTTGCCATTTAAACATCAGTTGCTGTATAAGGTTTCATCTCCCAGGTGAGCAGCCGCCTGTGTCTGTCTGGCAGTGGCATCAGTATCTGCGTGCAGCCATGTGGCTGTTTCACCGTAGACAGGCATAGACAGGCCAGACAATAGGATGTTTAAATAACCAAAAAAATGTGTAAGATGAGTTTGAAGACTAGATGGACAAAGTAAAACAAATGTTACTCTGGGTGGATGTTTAAGTTCCACTGCTTTAGAGGTCATGGTTAAAAGAAATTAGCAACAAATAATAAAGCTAAATTCTGTTAAATGGAGGTTGCGTTTAAAATATGCATACAGGACAGCAAAATTAACATGCGTGTATAAAGCAAAGAAGAGGGACAAGCATAAATCAAGCATTTTGACTGCCTAGCATTTTGTTAGCTACACCTATTCCACACTATTAACGCTGACATTTAAAAGTTTTGATGTTTCAATTTGTCAAAATCAGTAAAATAAAAGTCAATGTTAATAATAATATTAGGTTCAATCTTAATAGACCTCAGTTGCTCAGGTTAGCAATATAATTTGATAATAAATCATAAATTACACCTTGCTGAAACTTCTAATAATGAGTATAAGTATAAAAGTGGTAGAATGTTGACTTTAACACATTGTCCTATATAATTGTATATATCCATTTTATAAGGTCTAAACCACATCTGGAGAAAATAAAGCTAGCAAAAAGTTACAGCATCTTAAGTTAGTAAAAATGTTTTTCATTTTAATTTTTTTTAAGTTTTGACTTTCCTATACTTTGTCTTCCAGGTCTATACTTTCTATGATATTTTCAGAGCGAGCTCTCTTTGGTGTTGGTGATAAGAATGAAACAGCAGCATGCAGGTGATGGGGGAGGGTTTCTCCCCGGTGACTGACTTGGACTCATGTAAAGCACATAAAATGCTGTGCATTCTGAGCACAACAAATAATCAATGCTGAGCTGCAGAGCTGAGCAGCAGGTCAATGAAGACTTAAGCAGACTGTTTAAAAGTATGTATACAATATACTCTGCACATACAGATCAGATTAAGATTTTTTTAAAGCAGCAAAATAAATGACAATACTTGACAGATATATATTTATTTTATGTCGCTTTTTAAAGACATTATGGCAAAATCTAAACATTATAATGTTAGAAAGCAAACTTAATCAGGTTTTATGTTAAGGATCTTATATTTTTGATTTACAGGTATGTCTGAAAAACTTCCAATTTCATAAAAATGTTGACTATTTATCACTTATTTCGGAGACATTTACTCATATTTACAGAATAGAAGCTTTCATTTTGTATTTTTCATGATAATGGGTTTGAAATAATAAAAAAAAATGTCACACAGTTAAGTCACACTTCTGAAAGGTGTGCTCAGTTCAATGTACTTATTACTTATTTGGGCTCTGTTTAGTATGAATTAAAGCATCAAAGGCAATCAACCAGCAGCACTGCTTAGGAGTTGAAGAAGCCTTGGCTGCTTTGTTAGTAGCATTCAGGCCATCAGCAGTGTCCAGTCTTTTGATTATTGTTATTTCCCAGGACCTTTCTTTTATTAAAATAATCCAAACAGTGATTATTCAATTCTATGAATGACTGAAAATCTGTATTAAAATGATAATCCATCAAAGGCAGTATTTTGTTCCTTAATAAAACTTAGGAGATACATACAGTACACGTGCTGACACAAATTACAAAAAACCTAGTGATATTTAGTTACATGTAAAAATATATATATATATTTTTGCAATCTAAAATTAATCTGTCTTGGAGAACACTTTAAGAAACAATGTGGAGGAACAGAAAATCTTTGTAATAAATGCTGTGTACAGAAAAGGAAAAAAGGGCAATGAACAAGAGACACATGCAAGAAGTCACAGTGAATAAGAACAAAGGAGCATAAAGCCATACTAACCTCTTGGTAACGTACTTTCTACTCTGTCATCTACATCAAAAACTCGGTCATGTGTGCTTATAGTTTTCACACAGCTGTCTATAACAGAAAATAGGGAGAATGAGAAATCATTACAGTTATGCAACAAACATGTTAGTGACATTTGTACCACCACCTGAACTTTAGACAAACACTCAGAGCAGCAAAGCTAATGGCAACATTGAGAGCAGTTCCGTGCATCTGATCATTGTTCTCTTTTTTAAATAGTAAATAGTTTCATTATAAGACAGGTCTATAAGTAAAAAGGAACATTATGGACAGTGTCTACATTGTATAAAAGACAGGTAAGGAAATCAAACATTATTTCCCAATTTGTTTAGATCTTCAGTCCAAAAGTGAACAAAGCCAAGTTTTTTTTTTTTTTTTTTTTTAACAAAGCCCTCTGGGCCGGATTTATCAAGATCCAATTTTGCGTGCAGTAATTTGCGCTCGCAAACTGGAATTTTGCGCGAGGGGCTGAACCATGGTTTGCGGGTGATTTAACAAGAGTGATTGCGTAACTGGTGGAAGGTGCAAAACTGTTGGAGACGCCCTATTTAAATGATGGTTTTGCGCGTTTTGTGGTTTGCGGCAAAGTAGTTTGTAGTTTCTACAAACTAGTGCATTAAGAAATTTAAATCTTACAGTGACCCCCATCAAAAAAAATAAATAAGTAAATATATATATATATATATATATTTATAAATTGGCAACCTTTATTCCCTAAGGTGGTATGTGCTGCAGTAAAAAACAAAAAAAACAAAAAAAAAAACAGGTGTTTTGTATTGGCCTGTGACTGTGGATGAGATCCCCGCAGCATTTGGCACGTTGCTCCACAGGCGCAGGGGGAGAACCCCGACCCCGTCGGACAGCACTTCTGAAAAAACGAGATTGGGAGATCCCAGCTCACGCTGCAACCGAACGCTGGAATGACCCAGATGCAAAAAAGTGCAATGTTGCAAGGAGTTTTGTGATATCTGGTATTGCGTGGGTCCTCCTTGTGCCTGGCTCCAAATCCATTCGGAGTTCCCCCAACAGCTCCAGAATGGAAATGCTGGATAGACGATAAGTTTTGAAGATCGTTTCCTCGTTCATTGCAAAAATATTTACACGGAGTGAAAAAATGCGTTGTCTGCGTCTCCTTGCTTTATTTCCATGTCTCCTTCTTGCGACAATTACCGCTGCCATGTGTGCGCAATTACGCATACAGACCATTTGCACCTTCTTTTGAAACGTGTTAAATATAGAGTCAGATACCGTTAGCAAAATTGCGTTCAAGTTTGATAAATCACTTTGCGAGTGCTAAATTAATATATTTACATGTTCTCCTCCCACAAGACGCACTTTAGCGTGTAAACGCCCCATATTGCATATTCATTGCAAAAAAAGTACTAAATGGATCAGAGGCGCTATTTAGCACGTTTTAAAGACCAAATGCTTTTAGCACGCTGTTGATAGATCAGTTTGTACATTTTTTAGCGTGCGCAGTGAAATAGCTCACGTTTTAATACACGCAAACCTTTGATAGATCCGGCCCTCTGTTGCAAACAAACACTTACTTGATGGTCGGACGAAAACCTTTAGCTTTAGGCATGTTTTCTTCCCGTTTGGAGCCACTGTAGAGGCTGAAACATAAAAAAAAAAAAAAAAAAAAAAACAGAGACAGGTCAACAAGGAATATATTGTTAGATTACCACCATGTGCATATACAGCATGCTCCCTTTAATTAAAGATTTGCTTGATAAGAAATGCTTCGTGATACATATCTAATCTAGCAGACAACTGTTAGAACCACTATATGTTATACAGGAAATGTAACCTTTTTGTGATAGGCAATGTTGACTGGTAAGGGGATTAAATGGGGTTAGCCATGAGGGGTTTGTATAACTATAGCTCAAAAGAATTTACAGATGAGTAGGAAAAAGCAGAAAGCTTTCTTGCATCGGAATGTCCCTATTTCCTCCAGCAGCTCATGAAGGATTACCATATTTACAAAGTATAGGCATGATTTAAAACAGAAAAAGAAGGGAGAGCATTGCACAACAGTTTTTGAAATATACAGGGGCAGGGAAAGATGCACAGTCTCCTAAATGTTTTTATCGTTTTATTATTCTACAACAGAATTTATTGTTTCTCTTTGATTCCATATGAAAGCCCAATTCAAAGTAGTGCATAATTGGAAAAAACAGCATTAAACATGGTTTTAACATTGTCAAATTAAAATGTTGAGTGTTCATTCAACAGTACTGTAGCAATTCTTTAGGGGTGTAACTACCAGCAACTACAAACACTACCAGCTTTTCTCATCAACAGATTTTGCTATGTGCCTATTACACCTTATTTTCACTATTGCCTGTTTTGCCTTGGATTTAGCTAGGTCCAGCTTCCTGTGAAATTTGATGATTTCTCCTGCTGAGAATAAGCATCCCCACACCATGTGCTTGCCATTACTGCGTACTACAGTCCTTGTTCTCAGAGTGATTTGTAATGTCAGTTTTCTGTCATATACAGCCTTGGATTCAGGCAAAAAGGTTTAATACTAGTCTAATCTCCCAACAGCACCATAAGCTTTTACAAAATTAGTCATGATGATCAGCTGTCCAATCTACAGATTATTCCACCTAAGCTATGTATCTCTAAATACCCATTCAGAGTTATCATTGGCCTCTTGAGTATTGTTTAAATGCAAGGTTGTTTCCTAACCAAACTATTCCGACCTTCATTAACAGATGGATTTATTCTGAGGGGTTGATTTCTTGAGGCATTAAGTTATACTGCGGCATTAATACAGATGTGCAGCACACCTTTCAGATTTCTACTAAAATGTATAAAAATAAACAATGTGTTATTTACATTTCACTTCTTAATTATGTATCACTTGTTGTTGCTTTATCACAGAATATTCTGAGAAAATATTTGTGTATTTGTGGTTTCAAGGTGGCAAAATAGGTTTAATATTCAATACTTTTGCAAGGCAATATACACTGACATAGCTCCCTCTAAAAGAACCTTGACATATTTTCGCATGGCTGAGAGTTACACAGGTAGGATACAATTTGCTGCACATGTTGATGGCTTGTGGTTGATGTCAGGAAATTGATCCCTTCCTGCTGGGTCTATGGGGTGTGAATCTACTGAATGTTAGTCACCAAAGGGGCTCTATTAAATTCACTAAAAATATCTCCTGTCTCAAGTATGAGTGGCGGACCACTAGTGGTGTTGTGGTGGGGCAGCAGGTGCTGTCTCTTGCAGACCAGGACAGGGGTCAAACGTGTAATCTTAGAACACGTGTAACCCCAGATGGACACCATCTTGGGTTAGGACCTCATATCAAATTGTGAAGTGTTTGGTCTTCCCACAGTATAAAAGCATCCAGGTTATGTTAGTTCTCTGTTCCAGTGCCTCTTCCAGCTGCAACTTCATTGCTTATCAGACATTACCAAACGGTAAATCTACTGATCTATCTACATGTTTTCTCTTGGGAGTTTTTGCCTGATATTCTTTTTTGTTTTTTCTATTTGCTGGCACACAATGTCTGTTTTATGACTCTCCCAATTGACATGCAGCCCCTCAAAAGAATATTCAGCCCCTTGTAGCTTTCTTTTAAAACATTTTGTCCCTGATAACTGATAAATTTCAATGAATTGTAGCAGCATTATCTATGTACATCTTATAAATATTTAGGCACGGTGTAAGAAATACAAAGAATGAATAACAATTATCGTGGTAGAAATTTATAAAGGAGAAGAAATTAATTATATTTCTGATATCATGTTTAGATTTAAGCAGCAAGAAACATTTTTGCAAAACTAGAGAACATCCTTTTTGGCAATTTGTCCTCAAACGTTTCAGGCTCAGTCAGACTGGTTGGAGAGCATATCTGAACAATAAGTCAAGCCTTGCAAGAGATTGGAGGTTGAATTAAGGATTTTTTTTTTATCTGAATTAAAGCTGCATGTCTATGTCCATTTTCCTGGCTGAAGATAACCTTCACATTAGTCTCTAGTCATTTGCATCCTCTCACAGCTTTTCTTCAGAAATTATCCTTTACATTAGATTTTCTGAGTTATTTTCTCAAATATAACGAAGAGCTGTCCCATATTCGCCATAGTGCCACTACCAGTATAATGTTTAGCGTTTATTTTTAAATGCAGCACTTTACATGTTTACAAAAAGTAACATTGTATCCTTGTTTCCCATGTTTGCTACATTCTCTATATGGTCTTCTTTCAACAACGAACATATTTTGACTACTTTACTAATGAGGATGACAAGCTTTGTTTTCAACAAACTATCTTGTAAAAGCTGTGTTTCCATGCAGCTCCTCCAGATTTTCCATGAACCCATTGTTGATTTATCAGAGTAATACTTTCCTTGCCCAGAGTCTCAGTCTACAGAGCTTTATTCTCACCTTGGTGGTTTTTCAATAGAGTTGTACTCTTCACGTGTTCAGAAGACTTGTTAAACATTTCAAGTTTTATTTTTGAAGCAATGAAAAAACAGCTACAATCCTACTTTATAATTATGCAATGAAAAATATGAAAAAGTTGTACACATATACATATTTTTCCAAGGAGCAATATTAATTCTCAAAGCAGATAGCAGTCTCCAATTATCTATGCCTATCTATAACTCATTGGCATACACAAATAGTAGCACACAGGCCTTTATTAATCCTGCTTAGAATGGAACCCATTCAAATGTCTGTTCATACTGAGGGTTGGGTGGTATATTTAAACCTTAACACGAAGCACTGATAAAAGACCAAGATGTTTACCTGGAAATTATTTTCTTTTAAATCTATTCATAAATAATAAAAACAAGAAATGTTAACTCAGCATAATGGAGCTGTTCATGCTTGAATCTAAATTAAAACGGCATCCTGAAGGATAATTGAATCATTTTGAGAATGTCTCAATGCTGTGTCCTTTCAGCTGATCCAATTTAGCATCTGAAGGTGTTCATTCAATTTGCAAAATTTTGCTAAAAGGATGCCAACACCAATGCATAATGCTTATGCAATGGACATCTTTCAGAAGCCTTGCCATTTCAGATAAAATAGCTCTGCTTGCAAAAAAAAAAAAAAAAAAAAAAAATATATATATATATATATATATATATATATAAATATATATTAGATAGATAGATAGATAGATAGATAGATAGATAGATAGATAGATAGATAGATAGATAGATAGATAGATAGATAGATAGATAGATAGATAGATAGATAGATAGATGATAGATAGATAGATAGATAGATAGATAGATAGATAGATAGATAGATAGATAGATAGATAGATAGATAGATAGATAGATAGATAGATAGATAGATAGATAGATAGATAGATAGATAGATAGATAGATAGATAGATAGATAGAATTCACTGGAAAGAAAAGGTCTGAGAGCTAAAATTTACACAAATATTTTTCATACCATCTTTCCAATAGCTTCATGATATTTTAATTAGATTTGATTATTTAACCTTCCGTTTGTGTTGAGGCTTTCGGAAAAGGTTGCCCAGAGTAACAATTAAATGTATGCAATGAGAAAATGATTGATTACAGAAAAGGTCAGAGATGAGGGTGTTTCTTGGGTTTTAGCAATGCATGATTATACATCAAACTACCTTTATTTCATAAAAATAACAGCTTTATTCTAAATCCCCTGCATTTCAATGTGTCGCCAGGGCAGCTCTTCCAGCTCACTCTACACCCCATGAAGTTCATGACCTTGCTGTCATCATTTTAATTTTGTCACTTCATCAGCTGTTACCCTTCCCTTCATGACATGTCACTCACAAGTGAGATGTCCTGAAATCAGATGCTGTTTATCGGGCCTCAGTTTGTAATCAACAGATCCGTGAGAGGAGGTGAGGGACGGAAGAAAGGACAGAGGGAAATTCGTCCTTATTATTTCACATGGGAGCACCTGATGACACAATAATGAACCTTGGCGACCATCACTCTTTCAGTGAGTCACAGCAGCACCTACACAATTTTTGTCTCTGTTTGTAGTGCTCCACTTTGTTCCTTTCCTCTATTCATGCTCATTTCACACCTAAATCCTACAATTAATGGCATTTGTACCCATGGGGACCAGATATTGGTCCCCACTCGAGCTCTTGGTCCCCACAATGTGCTATGATTTATAGAAAAATGGTCCTCATGATGTAAGAAATGCACACCCACAGACACACACAATTTCCACATGTTGTATCTTCATCATCGTTGTGGGTTGAGTTGAGTCACAGCCATCGACACCAGCCACTTAGCAAAGGCTGCTGATCATGAGAGAAGTATGGGTTTGATGACAATAGGCAGAGAGCATGTGGAAGTCCCTCCCATGGTGAGCAGCTTGCTAAAGCATTGTGATTTTTTAAAATGTTATACTCTGAGTCCAAAAGTAAAGAAAACTATAGAAAGAAATTATAAATTGCAACAGAAAAAACAGAACATAACAATAAGTCGCTATATTCTCAAGCACTTTTTATTTTAAGAAGCATGAGATATTGGCTGACGATAGTAAATGAAGCTTAAGCAAAAATTCAATATGGAAAACTTTTATCAGCTTCACCTGAACCACTTGCGATGTCCCTCGTTCAGCTCCAGCCAAGCAACTTGG